GTGATCCATAGGCACCACATCCCTGGGGACAGGGTCTCAACCCAATAAACAAGATTTCAACTTTTTCCCCCAGAATGAGAAATCACATGTATGATATTTTCAGTAGAGAACTAGGTTAGGAATAATGTTAGAGTTAGGGATAGGGTTAGGCTTAGAGTGAGCATTAGGGTTAGGGTTAAGATGACGTCCCCGGCCTTAATGGGACTGCTGTCTGGAAACTCCTGTTGGTTGCCAAGTACAGGCATGAGACACACTCCAGGAATGCCTTCTGCTAGGGAGGACACTCCTCTTAGGGAGCTGTGGGCCTGGCCCAGGTTGGTGACTAGAAGTCTGCAGACCAAGTGGAAGGGAGTATAGCATCATGCTGCCTGGGCAGGGCCACTAGCAGCCGTGGTGATGACCCTGCCAGAGGAACCTGGAGTTGTCTTTGCCTTATGCCTTCTCTTTGCACCCTCACATCAGACTGCAGGCTGGGCTCTGTAGGCAGCAGAACCTGGAAATGGCACTGGTCTGCACCTCATGTTAGGCTTCCTTCCTCCATGGCACATTTGATAAGAAGTGCAGACTCTGAGGCCTGGCCCTGTGTGCTTAACTACCAAGTAAGAAAGGAGTTCTGAAAACAGGTTAGATGTGGAGGGAAGAGTGGGCAGCACTTCATCAAAAAAGATCTGTCTCTGTTATTGTGCACATGAGGCAGCCAGACAGCACTGTGGCAGGAAATGAAGAGCAAGGATGACAGTGCATTTGGCCTCCTAATGTAGACCCACACGGGACACCACAGTGAGCTCCAGATCTGAAACTTTGGACTGAATCCTTCAAGTCTGCAGTGTGCAGACAGTGCCTCACCATCCCTGCATGCCTCACTTTATGGATGGCCACTGGGCACACCTCATAAGATGGCCAGCATAAGATGACCCATCGTTCATTAAATCCAGGAGGAAATCCATGACCAGCCCTTCTGCCCAGGTTCTTGGCAGAGTCCAACTTTCATCATGGCCAAGATGACTATAGTCTTGAAAGGCATGTGGAATTGCCACCCTTACTCCCCACAGAGACCTCCAATCTGTAGCCAGCACTGAGAACACCCTACTTAATGACCAGGTTTGAAGTCAGCTTGATATTGTCAAGATACGATCTGTGTCTGGAGTCCTGTATGGGAGAGGGATGCTCAGCCTGGCCTGGGAGACCCCCATTCCATCCATCAGCCCCGATGTCTGATGGTACCAACCTTGTCCTCTCCACAAGTCCAGCTTCAAATCCACCCTCTGTCTTTGCTGCTTCCCAGACTCCTCCCTGACCTGCCTTCAACCTAATTCAACTGTCAATTAGGAGCCAAGCCAGTGGGCTCAGCCTCCTTCCCCTAGAGACAGATTTGGACTCTGCGTGGTTTTCATGTGTGTGTCCTGGGCATTCCCGTCAGTTGGAACCTGAGACTGCAGGTGGCAGGACCACAAAGT